TTACAACCATCATTGAGTGTTGGCGAAGCACAAAATTCAACCAATGCCAACTTAATTATTCATCTGTTCACTAAATCTGATAGCATCCTGCTTCTTCTTTCAGGTCGGTGTTCTATCTGCTTGTAGCCATTCTGGCTTGATAGACAGGGGAATGGAATATTTTCACTCGATGGAAAGGGATTATGGTATAATAGCTAATTCAAAACATTATACTTGCATGATTGATCTTCTTGGGAGGGCTGGGGCCGCCTGGAAGAAGCACATAATTTGATGAAAAACATGCCTTTTGAGCCTGATGCTGCCACATGGGGAGCTCTACTGGGTGCAAGTAGGATTTATGGCAATACTGAACTGGGTGAGAAGGCTGCCGAGATGGTTTTCAAAATGGAGCCTCATAACACAGGAATGTATGTCCTCCTTTCAAATTTGTATGCAGCTTCAGGTAGATGGGTTGATGTTGGTAAGATGAGGCTGAAAATGAGGGATGGTGGTATCAAGAAAGTACCAGGTTATAGTTGGGTTGAGGTACAAAACAAGATTCATACATTCTCTGTTGGGGATTGTTTCCATCCAGAAAAGAATAGAATCTATGCCTTCTTAGAAGATTAGATCTAAAAATGAAGCGTGAGGGGTATGTTACTAGAACAAAATTAGTCCTGCATGATGTGGAAGAGGAAGAAAAGGAACATTTGCTTAAGTATCACAGTGAGAAATTAGCTGTGGCATTTGGAATTTTGACTATACCAGCTGGAAGACCAATACGTGTCATGAAAAACTTGCGTGTCTGTGAAGACTGTCATATTGCCATGAAATACATATCCAAGATTGTTGGAAGGCTGATCATCTTAAGGGATTCTCACCGCTTTCATCACTTCAGTGAGGGAACTTGTTCTTGTGGAGATTATTGGTAAACGTGGTCAGATATGAGATCAGTAGTCCTTTTACTCTACCAGCCTTTCTGCACCAGGGGATTGAAAAGCATTGGAAGCAAGAAGTGAATTTCATTGCGTCCTTGTCATTGTGCAATTAATGTTTTTGCGAAGGAATAAAATAAGCTAGAGGAATATCGGTGAATCAGGGTGATTCCAGTCATTTCAGAATGACAAAGGGACTATTTTAATTCTTTATAGTGAGTGATGGGAGTTGGATTCTGGGATCTTTATTAGTTGTATTCCAGAATGCAAATTGGAGAGGCCTAGAGAAGTTGGAGAGAACAGATAACATGAAAAGAATAAAGGAGAGTATGGTAAATCATCGCTCTTTGCAAAATCATGTTTATAGCCTCTCATTCCTCGAGATGTTGGAGACGTGAAAAAGTAACTTCATTTGGTCTAAGAACACGAGCCCAGAATAACCAAAGTCTTAGCAAAGAATCTGGTTCGCTACTTCTGCTCGATGATACATCTAAGCTGATTGGATAACCATACATGTTATTCTGTTCAGTCATTCATGCGGGCCGTGGGTTTGTCAGACTGAATAATGAAGATTACTCCATCATTGCGAGACACACTATCAAACATTATAAAGAGCAACATTATAATGATCAATATGGCTCAAATGCTTTCAACAACAGTTGTTTTGATTTGAGGTGAGCTGTTATTTTGATACTTACAATAACCCAAGGAAACTCCAATTCTACTGCATCTTTGTCTTCCTAGGATGCTATTCTGCCAGTTCTTAGATATATTATGGGTACTTTCAGAAAAAAGGAAAGCCTGTGAAAGACTATCCAAAATTTTAGAAATTTAAATTGTTACGGTCCATGATTGGTTTTATGTATCTAAGAACTTAACAACTCAATGTAAGGCTATATCAATTCTCAAATTTATAAAAGCTGAATATGGCCGAAGCTCTTGTGAAGTATTTACTCCCATGTCTTTCAAGACTAGTTTAAGTGCTCGGTTAATTTTATATTCGAACCTTTGTTTGATCTGCGGCAACTCATATTTCATATGCATGGTTTTTTCCTTTTTTTTCTTCTTTTTTTCTTTTAAAGATATAGACATTGTGCACAGATGTTACGCACTCCTTTCTTTCCTATAAACGAAGTCTGAAACTTAGCGTAAGCAAGAAAAAATGGAGAACAAGAGGGTTTCCATGAGTTGCACTCTGAATTTAGATGCTCTTTTTCTCCCATGAAGAATTTAGATCTTCTGTAATAAATGGGAGAATTACAACCAGGTCCCACATAGGGAAATTAATTCTTTTCTTAGCCCCATCTATAAGTCAAACTTCTGCATTTATATGCCAAATTTCTCATTTGCAAGTATCCGTGACCTGTGGGTCATTACTATCTTATTTGGAACATGTTTTGTAATTCTCTGTTCATAAATCGCAGATATCTTTCTTAAAACCCATTCCCTACTTTCATCTCTAATAAAATGACGAGGTGAATCCAAATCAGAGATCTTATGTAAAATGATGTTTGAATGTTAGAAAAAGTATCCAAATCCAACAAAATGAGTGAGAATCAAAAACTGATATAGAATACCGTCTTTAGTAATTGCCATATCTTACCTTCCTTGCTTTTATGTAATATGTTCTTGGAGATTGACAGGTTTCTACCCGCCTATGGCCTACCTGCCCATATGAGCTGGAGAACACTAACCCATCAGGCATCCTAGAACTAATGGATGGAGAACGTCCATTGCTTAACTAATGGATGGAGGTCGCTTGTTGCAGTTCGGGAATTTGTTTTCTGTTAAGATGGGTATTGGGGAGAAAAGAAATGCCCGAACTACCTCGAGCAACTTTGCTCCATTGGTGGCAAAATTGTGTTTGGCCAGATTTTGAAACCTTCCCCAAGTGAGTCTAGTTTCTCTCCGTTGTGCTTTTTTTTTTTTTTTTTTAATTCTTTTGTCCTCCATTGCAGTTTGGAACATTCAAATAAACTTTTTATTGTTCAGATTAATTCTTTTGAATAAAACTGTTAAATATGAATGATCAGATTCATCTGACAATTCTCCCCTGCAGTGAAGGGAAGCTGAGCATGATGCCCATGGTATGCATGGGCATTTGTTGGAGAAACAAAGAAAAGGGCTCTAAAGAATAAGGAAAGGATGGTTAAATGATAATTTCTCTTCCCCTTGTTCGGAAAGCTTCTTCCCCCCTCCTCGAAAATTCTTTTTTATCAAATTAAAGCCAAACCATGGTTTGGAGAATAGCTTCTGGAGAATTGATTCTGGAGAGAATAGATTTTGAGAGAATAGGTTTTCTGAAAAAGTGATTCTGAAAATGTGAGAGTGTTTGGATAGGTTTTGTCAGAAGTGCTTTTTACATGTAGAAATTACAAAAAAGGACATAAGTTTAAATGATAATTACATATAAGATATATTTCATAATATATGTTTATTTGAAGTAAATTAATAATATTAATAAAAAAATTTATACGTATATAAATTAATAAAATAAATAAATATTTTTTGGAAAATAATTTAATAAAATATTAAATATGTATATATATTAATAAATAATATATATTAATAAAATAATAAAATTAATACGCATATTTTTAATAAAGTAATTAAATATGTTTTTGTAAAATAATTAGTTATGCCACAAAAAATATGATCATTTCTTAAAGATTTTAAAGATGAAAAATCCCATAATTTTTTTTTCACAAAATTAAAGAAGCACACAAAAAATTTCATATCAATTGTCTTAATAATAGAGGTTGCAACGAAAAATATTTGTCCAAGTACTTTTTTTTTTAACAACACATTACATTATCTGAAAAGAAAGAAGAAATAAAAAAGACATGACTATTCTCGTATATAGTGAATAATTTGATCTCTTATGGAGTCACGAAGTCGAGCCATATGAGATGAAGATTCTATTGATGAAGGTATATGTGAAGATCCAATTCCATCATCATCGTTATTTTCTTCTGCATAAGAACCTTCTTGTTCAAACTAAATGAAACTAGGATCAGAAATGGATGTTGATCTAATGAAGTTATGTATGGCCATTGTTGCACAAACAATTTGAACCTGTGTTGGAAAGTCATAGCTCGGCATGTTTTCTAAAATTGCAAACTTACTCTTCCAAACTCCAAAAGTTCTTTCAATAGTGCTTCGTAGACTTGAGTGCAAATAATTAAACGCCTCATTGTCATTTTCAAGTGCAGATGACCTTCGAAAATCAGGGAGATGATAGCGTTCACGTCTGTAGGGACCAAGGTATCCCACGGGTGTCGGATAGCCAGCATCCACCAAATAATATTTGCCTACATGAAATATATGATTGGTGTCAATAAACTTTGTTTTGTAACAGTATCGCATAAATAAATTGTAGCAATTTAAAATATACCTTGAGGCGGATGGGGAAAGTTCATGGAAGGAGTTGTGAGAGCGTGGTCAAATATACGAGCATCATGCGCACTACCTTCCCATCCGACTAATACAAAAGTGAAGCACATGTCCCAATCGCAAACCGCCATTACATTTTGCGTCACTCTTCCTTTTCGGTTAACAAATTTTGTTTGCTCAGTTGCATTAACAACGCATGAAATATGTGTTCCATCAATTGCTCCAATAGCATGTTTGAAAAAGGACCAGTATCGACCACCGGGCTGTATTTTTGAATGCAAATGCTGAAATGTTGGATCTTTTGGTTTGATATTGGACATAGCAAGTCTACAGCATGCCAGTAAGACATTATGGAAATGTCTACTAATTGTCTCCCCCGAATGCTGAAATCTTTCTTGCTGCATCCTACTACTAAGCGCATGGCCAACGGTATTTAAAAACATTGCAACCATTTCATGTATCCCAACATTTCTAGTTTCCGTAAGACCGTGTTGCTGCAATTCTGTGCAAAGACTGAAAAACACTTCCCTTTCCATCCTAAACATGTTATAACAACGGGTGGAATGGCCTTGTAAAACGTCCCTTACCCATGCCTTGCCTGTATAAATACTTGTGTGCTGGGGCTCTTTACACAAATGAAGAGAAGCGTATCCACCAACTGCTACTGCAACTTGATTAATCCGTTTGTTCTGTCGTTTACGATACTTTTCCGCAATTTTAATTTCATCAGCCATTTTTTGTCTTGTCCTGTGCACATAGATATAAAATTCAGAAATCCTCATATGAAATTAGTAAACATTTAACAAGGAAATAAGTTGTCTAATTCCTAAAGAAGTTTAGCAGTCACATAATACAATAGTGCTGGTTACATCATTCCTAAAACATATGCAAATTATCACAGTCATCTCCTGAATAACACAAAAAGTAGTCAAATACTATGATAAGCAACACAAATGAAGTCTCAATATTTAGTTGCGTGCTTCAAGAAGATCAGGAGTCTTTCCCTCTTGTTCTTCAGAGTCACATACATCTCCCTTGCAGCTTGCTCCCTCATAAGGAGTGTTGTGCACCGGCCAAACAAATCAGGATCATCAACAACTTCATCAACTTCGTTAAGGTGCTCCATGACTCCCGCAATTGACGTCTCATAAGCACGCGCTTCTTCTTCTATCTTCCTAGCACGTGCTTCTGAAATCTCTTCATATTCACGCTGAGAATCATTTTCATTTGCCTGAGCTATCCTGCTTAATGCATCTGCTATTTTCATAGTGGCAGTGTTCTTCTTCTTCATGGATTCGCCCTTTTTTTAACCCCTAATGAGCTACTAGGTCGACTGCCACCTGTGCTCTACTACCCCCGACTGTTTTCCCGTCTCATCCCAGTGTTGCCTCCACTTCCTCCCATTGTCATTGAATGTGACCGAATTAAACTCTCCGCTTATCCCAGTTGGTGCCCCCAATATTTCATCACTATCTCCAGACCCTTCTTCCATATCATTTTCGGGAACTCCTTCGCTTGGAAGCGTCATGGAAGAAGGTGTAACATACTAGTTTTTCTATAAAAAAAAAATTGTAATCAAATATATATAATATTTTATTAGTAAAAAAAAAAAAAAAACCAACCCCCTTTTTCCACGGAGAGTTGAAAATTTGGGGGGGGGGATTTATTAAGAAGGGAAAAGATGGGGGGAAAGTGGCGTAAGTTGAAAAGAGGGGAGGAGTATTAAATGGGGCAAGAAAAAAAGAAAGAAAGGAACGGACAAAGGAAGAATGTTTGGGAAAGAATAGTAAATGAAGGTGGAAAAATTGGCAATAGTATTAATTGAAGAAGGAAAAAGGGAGGACGCATGTTGGAAAAAAATGGGGTATAGTACATGGAAGGAGAATTTGGGGAGGAGTAGTAGTAAATGATAGAAGAAAAAGAAGGGGAAGTACGGATGGAAGTGGAAATTGGGTGGAGGACGGTGAAGTTACATGTGAGAATATATATATATCCTCATCCCGGTTGTTTCTTGCAAGCAAGGAAGAGAGACGGAAGAGGAAAGAGAGCGAAAGAAGAGAAAAGAGAGTGAGAAGCAGAGAGGAAAGGGGAGAGAGAGCTGAGTTGCAGAGTACCTGACAGTTTTGGAGATCATTTAGGTACACAAAACTACTTCTTGTTATCATATTTTCTTTATGAATATTTCCTATATATTTATATCTTTATATTATTAGTTTCATTATCATGTTTAGAAAATTTTACGTTTGGGTATAGAGTAAATATGGAGTTTTGACAATATATGACCGTAGAAATTTAAAGATACATTATTAAGGAATTTTAATCGGTTTATTTTTGTTGAATGATTATTTTGAGAATTTTAAACTAAGATTTTAGTTGAAAAGTTTGTTATTTAGACTTGTAATATGTTTTTACCGATTAAATTTGAGTTAAATAATTTATTTGAGTTATTTTATATATTATTGAGGTTTTAATCGGTTTAAATATTGAATAAGTTAAAGATATATTTTGAAATAATTTTTGAAGCTTGAAAATTGTAATTGAGATTTGGTGAAATGAGATAAGTTACGTTTGTTTATAATTTAAAAAATTGTTTGGTTTGAAAAATTTTAAATGAGATTATAATAAATAATTGAGAATTTTAATAAAATCTTTAGATTTTGGTATAAAATATATTACTTTTTGTTAATTTAAATAGCCTTATATGTAAATTATTCAAAATAATATCTATTATAAATGCCTAGATTTGGGAGAGTTAATATATTTATGTAATTTTGGTTTAGAGGGTAGTCTTAGAATTTTAGAGTAGCTTGGAGTAGTTCTGAGTTTATATTAATAAATATTTATGTGCAATTTTGTAGACTTGAGAATTTTGGAGTAATCTTTGTGTGAATATTTGTAAGCTAAAGAGTACCAGGTAACTCTGAAAATTCTTTCTTGTACATGTGAATTGTGTATGATTATATTGTGGATTTACTAATTATTATATTCCTGAAATATAATATTATGATTTTTTGTAAATAAATGTTTTGGTATGTTATTTGATTTTGTTAAGATTTATTGCTATAATTATGATCAATATTTAAATATATTGATGGCTATGAATTGTCATGATTGCTATTAAATGGTATATAAGTTTTATTGCTATCTTATTTTAATATATTTGAGGACGTATTTATGATGTAACATTATTGGCATCTGACATGCATTGTTGGGCTAAGGATAGAAGGAGATTGCATGGATATAAAATTACCACGTGGTATGCCATCACTCGGTGCACAGTGGATGGCACTTGTCAGGGCCCCTTCTTCCATGTTTTCCTTTGGCCGGGAATTCATTGGAGCTGTGGGACATGTGACACCTCCCTATTCACAAAGGAGGGGAGCCATAGTCCGAGCTTGAGCTCTATATCTTTGGCCGGATATATCTCTTGTATCGGTGAGCTTGGAATAATTCAGTAAAATGGATTAGTTCCTATCGGACTATGTGTTAGCCTATGGCTCCAGTCAGCGGTATAAGGGTGGACGGTGATATAAGGGAGGCAGCATATTGCATTATTTTTGGATATATTAGAAAAATGATATTGGTATATTGTTGGAAAAAAAAATGAAATTGAATTGGATGTCTCAAATCCGTGATTTTTTTAATATATTTATACACACATATAAACGGATTTTTGGTTTATCATATATGATTTGCTTGTATAGGTTAGAATTTCAGTAGTTACTGAGACGTTTGATCTCACCCCCTATATTAACAATTTTCAGGCGAAGGATCTAGTAGGAATCAAGGGAAGGCACCAATGGAGTGAGCCGTGAAGGCTTTTGTGCTCCTCAAGCACATGCTATGTTATATTTTTTTTGCCATGACTATAAGACTTTAATAGTTTATGTTGTTAAGTTATGTTAGAAATGTTTTGAAATTTTGACTTAATTGCAGTATTAAAAATATGTATGGACTTTTAAATTAAATATTTTATTGCGTATATTGATATAATTATGTGAGGTGTTACATTTTTGGTATCAGAGCTGTAACGTTCCATGGCTTTTTAATTAACTTTTATGTAAAGTATTTTCCCAAAAGGTTTGGAAAAAAAAATGGCTAGGGGTCATGGCAATTTAAATATAATAACATGTGCACTTCCCTTTAGTTTTTAGATTAAAAGTTTATTTTAGTAACGCTGCTTAGTTTACCTAGTGTCCCTGTGCTATTCTACATAGGAAGGGAAGGATGGTGAACACTCGAAGGACTAATTCTACCCCAGTTCCACATCAAAATGTTCCTTCTCGTCAAGATAATGATGCTATTTTGCGAGAATTACGAGATTATGTTGTGAGCATTGATCGAAGAGTAAGGAGACATGAGGACGAGCTGTTGACAATCAAAGGTCAACGTGATAGCCATCAAGAAGAAAATGGCCCTGTTGATGATGAAGCTCCCAGTGACCACCAGTCAATAGGTGATACCCTTAGAGGCACTGAATCGAAAGGTGGTAGCAGTGCACATTCTCAACAAGACCTTGCGCGTATCACACTGCTCTGGGAAAGTTTTAGGAAGTTTGATCCTCCTAAGTTTGAGGGTAGGCTGAATCCATCTGAAGCTGAAGAATGGATCGAAAGGCTGGAGACTATATTCAGAATAGTAATCTGCACCTCGCAGGAAAAAGTGCAACTTGCTGAGCAGCTGTTACAAAAGGCAGCAAGGAAGTGGTGGGACAGCATCAAGCCTTTTGAAAGTGTAGAGATAACTTGGGAAAGGTTCAAGGAGAAATTCTTCCAACACTATTTTCCTAATGCCCTTAGAGCGGATCAAGAAGCAGAATTCTATGCCTTCAAGCAAGGGAACTAAATGAGGAAGACTTCATTGCTCGATTTCTCGAGTTAGTTAAGTACATTACTTATCCGCAGACGCAACCTGACTCAAAATGGATGGCTGATAGGCTACTGGAAAAGGCTAGGCCAGAATTAAGAACAGCTCTAGCACCCTTGGAGATTAATGATTTTGAAAAAATGTGCACCAAATTGCGAATCATTGCTAGAAGAATGAGAGAAGAAGAAGCTGAGAAGAGAAAAGAATCTTATACAAGGTCCGTTCCATTCATGAGACCTACGGGAGGAATCAGTAAGAAGAATACCTACAGCTTCAACAACTCCAAGAAGCGGTTTAATCAGCCCTCAAGGAATCAATCTGGTGGACCTTCAAGGAGTCAATTCAGTGGACCCTTGAGGAGTCAATTCAATGGACCTCCGAGGAGTCAAGTCAGTGGGGGACAGAGCTCTTACAGGGGTTCTACAGCTCCTATCACTAGCACCGCCAATAGTCAAAGGTGTGCTAAGTGTGGGAAGGTGCATCAAGGAAATTGCATTATCTGCTTCAAGTGCGGGAAACCGGGCCATATTTTCAGATTCTGTGAGGAAGGCTCACGAGGGTCAATGATACTAGAGCTGCAGTCCCAGGAAGAGTGTTTGCACTATCTCAAGAAGAAGCTGACACTTCTCCTAATTTGATTAAAGGTATTCTCAAACTCCAAGGCTTTGAAACTCAAGCTTTATTTGATTCTGGTGCAACACACTCATTTATATCTAATGATTATGTGCCTCGTCTAAGTATGCATATGTATGAATTGCCTTGTGATGTGATTGTCTCTACACCGGCGGGAGCCTCGGTGAAAACTTCTAAAGCATGCTTGAATTGCATGATTGAATTTGAGGGTAGAACATCCACTATAGACCTTGTTTGTCTACCCTTAAAGGGTATTGACCTGATTGTAGGAATGGATTGGTTGTCGGCAAATGACGCCATCCTAGATTGTAGAAGGAAGACCATTTCTTTACCGGTCGCCTTGGCCAGTTCTAGTGGGCCACAACTGTTGTCTTTAGTGCAAGTTGAAAAGTGTATTCGAAAAGGTTGTCAAGCCTACATGGTGTTCTTCTCCATTCACACAACAGCTGAAAAAGGTGTAGAGGAGATTGCAGTGGTGAGTGAATTCCCGGATGTGTTTCCAGAGGAGATAACAGGTTTGCCTCCAGAGAGAGAAGTGGAGTTCTCCATTGATCTTGTACCTGGAACCGAGCCTATCTCTAAAGCTCCTTATCGGATGTCTCCATCAGAATTAGCAGAGTTAAAGAAACAGATCGAGGAGTTGCTGGAAAAGGGCTTCATTAGGCCGAGTGTATCTCCTTGGGGTTCGCCTGTGCTCTTTGTGAAGAAGAAGGATGGGAGCATGAGACTGTGCATTGATTACCGCCAATTGAATAAGGTAACCATAAAGAACAAGTACCCTTTGCCCAGGA